GATTCCCAGAATGCAAGCAAGTTGCTGGCTTTAGGATAGCTAAAGAAAACAAACATAATTATATGCTGCAAAGCAGCTGGCAGCATATAAAACCAACAGGAAATACTAATACAAATCTATCTCTGAAGCATTTTTAAGCATTTATGAACGAGTAGCTGAGTAGAACTTCTACTAAACCAATATTAATTAAAAAGTATTTTTAATGTATATTCTGAAGTTTATTATTTATATTATTTACACTATCACCTCATCACGAACACAGACAAGACTTGTAGGTAACCCTGCAGAACTTGAGTTTGAACAACCATCTTCTGGCTCTGATTTTTTGAACTGTGACACCAAGATACCAAGTTCCAATGCTGTACTAAAGTGAAAAAGGTCAGATCCTTCCAAGAGAGGCCAGTGGCTACAGAAGTGATTTTAAGAGCCTCAACAAAAGAAACTGGAATACATAACAATCCGCAATCAACAATGAAAACAACACAGGAGAGCAGAAAGAAATTTCCAAGGCAGTTAGAAAGAAACACAGGGTAGAAATAAAGACAAAGAGACAAGATTATCTTAAATCTAGAAAATAAAGTCCCCTAACAAAACAAAGGCAAAAGGCAAAGAAAAGAAAATGTGTGCCCTCAGCAGAAGTCGTGAGGACCAGCGAGAGCTACACTAACTGATTCCCAACCAGAAAGACTAGATCTGCTGCTTCCTACTAAGAAGACACCTAAGGAATCTCTATAAAGGACCTGGAACTCCTTCAGAGTTTAAGGAGGTAATATTTATTTGATGACAATAACCTGACAAAGAGGAGAAACACCAAATCTTTGCTTCATTTCTAAGACTGAATGAAAACCTTGAGAAAGAAAAGGGAACTGAGAGAGCAACTGCTGTGCATTTCCAGATCGGTGTATGTGGGTGATATAAAACCACAGATTACTTTCCAGGACACAGAAATTAATGTCCCTATTTGCCCTCTTCCTGATTGGTTCCAAACATTCACAAAATAGTTTTCTGTTACTTTGATGTGACAGGTGCAGACTAGACTGTGGGCTTTTCCCCTCAAGTTCTGTCCTTTACCAAGTATGTAGGCCACTTTAATGGAAGGAAGGGCGACAAGACAAAACAAAATCAACTCACAGATACTTACTTCCATACAACAGAAATAACTATGTCTGAGGGGGTGCAAAGACAGGTTTGCTTCATGTTGCAGAAGACCCAAAAAAAAGGCTGGACGGAGAAAAAGTTGGATGCCTGGGTCAAAAAATTGGCTTGTTTGAAATTCTGTTCATTGGCACATCAGTTTACCTAAATACAATAGCAACTACCTTGTCTTCAGATCCACATTTAGAAGTAAGTTTTGTTAAGTTTGGGAAAGTTGTTCTATGCCTGAACATAATTCAGCTCTTCAGGTGTGTTTGCACATACTGATACACAATCACGGACCTAATTACATATGTGTTTAAACACACAAATTTTGCTGCATCCTACAACAGCCACCTACCTATCAGTGCCTCCCAGCCACATCTAAACAAACACATTTTAGTAACACAATTGCAGAAGAAGGAATTATTGCCGCAGTGACTGCAGTATGTGAGCCCAGCTGCGTATCACTAGCATACTGCTACTGGAGTAGCCGGACGTGCTGTCTTTTCCAGCCACAAGTGAGATTCCCACACGACAGTCTTCCCCCTGATCAGGGCAGAAGTTATATAAAGACCTTCAACCTGTTTTTAGCACAACACTTCAGTCTCTCTCCCAAAAGTATCAACACTAGTTCCTGCAATCTTCAAAATAAGCCCGAATTTAAAAAGTTATTAAAAATTGTAATTATCATATTCAGCGTCTAGATTTCAAAAATCTAGCTTCAGCTCTTATGTCAGGGCAAATGTGCAAGTTCTAACATTAAAATCCACACAAGCTATTTTTAAAACAACAGTCATGATTTCTTTTTGTTCTTTAACCCTTTTACAGACTTTTTAATACTACAGTTGTGCCTTCAATCAATGCAGGAGCAAAAAAACCCATTCCCCTGGTTCCACAAGACAACAGATGTAAAACCAATAAGATATAGTTAATGCACAAACAGGAAGTTCTATTCAGTAGAACAGGAATCATCCCACTCAGATCTGAATTACAGAGACTTCCAGGCGTTCCTTTTATGCACAAGGAAACCCGTGGGACAGCGGGGTTACTTCAGTTTAGGAATAAGCTACTGCAGTTTGGCCTAAACCTCTTACCTCTTCCACTCTGACTTCAGCCAGAGAGAGACAATCACAAGTGGCCACAGGAGCTACGTGTAGGAGCTGCTGCTGCCAGCTGCAATTCAACACCTCAGCGTCCCTCTGCCCCCGGGGAGGCAGTGTGACAGATTTATCAGGCACCTTCCCACCGCCAGCTCTGACATGGCTGTGGCAGCTGAAGAGTTTACTACCTGCTAGCTGTTCAGCATTAATCCTCAGCTGGGTCGGTATTAAAAACAGATCACAGAAGTCTTCCTGATGGGCTTCAGTTTGGCACTACTGAGCTGTGCTCTCTCGTCTACTTCCTGCTACATTCTGAAGCTCTGAAAAACCCGAAAACTTTTTCAAAACTTTGTCAGCAAAAAAGTTGAATCTATGTGCCCACAAAGCGGAAAGAAGCATCTGCATCTACTACTGCACTACTCTCGTAAATGCTGGCCAGAAGGATGGGTGTGTTCACACTGTCTCTCAGGTCAGCTTCCATCATCAACATTCATTTTCACTCCTTCATAGTTCCTTAGAGAGCAGTGAATTTTAAGAGCTGTTGTTGTTATTAAGGACCTGAAGGGCCATGAAACGGGACAACTCTACAATTAAAAGAATTTCCATTTCTCATTGTCTCATTAAGGACCAGGGACAGGAGCGAACAAAAAATAAGCTCTACAAAGACCAATGTTCTTTGCCTTGCTTCACATCTTCTCTAAAAGCCGGGAAACACCTTACAAGCTCAAAGAACTCAAAGGTCTTTCGGAACATAAAAGGAAACTATTAAACTGAACACAACTTTATAGGAAGATCTGAATGTAACACAGGATGGAATGCACACATTTCTTTTCAGACTTTTCACAACATCTTCAAATACAAAATAAGCTAAAATCTCTGGAATCCACTGTATGAATTAAGTACTTCATTTTAAAAAGCAGTTCCTGCACTCCTCCTCACTCTATCTTTCACCAGCCAGGCATTTATCACCAATTTTTCCCAAAACTAGGTTTCCATAACATTCAATTCATACATGAAACTCTAGAGCTTTGCTTAAAAGACAAAACAAAAAATCCAAACCAAAAAACTCCAACACTCCAACATTCCCCTTGGTGTTCAGAAATACAGCAGCATTGTATTTGTAAAAACAAAGGGAGAAAATCCCTTTTTTGCACACATTAATCCAGACAGATGTGATGAGATCCAAAAATAAAAAAAATATATGTTTTCTGACCTAAAGGAAAAAAGCTTTTCAAGCTTCAGATTTTAATCAAAGCCTGGTCAAAGCTCCATTCCAAACAGCCTGATTTTCCTTTTGAGCTTAAACCAATTTCCATCTAGCATTTTAAGGAAAAATGTACCACTGAAAGCCTCACCACAGGAATCTTTAGCCCCTATGTTTAAACAACTCCAGCTGGTAACTTCAAGTCAGCAGTACATACAAAATTAACAGGATGCCTTTCGTCTTCCTCTGTGATCACTTCTGGGCACCTTTGATCTAGTGTCAATGTTTTTTCTTTCCAGATAGCTCTCATCGTTCAGTCACTTAGAAAGAAACCGTGGCAGAGTGCAAACTTCAGAAGGCCACAAGAATTTCCTGAAGAACACGCTACCTGCCAGATGAACACAGAACTGCTTTTTGCAGGAGAACACTTAAAATACCCTCTCTTGGAGGACTCAGTATAACTCAGTACAGCTTTAAAAGCTGTGATGCAAGACACGTGTGTAACTGGCTTGTCAAAATAAGACTGCATTGTTCTAAAGGTTCTGACAAATGTGAATGCAGCAGTCTATACTACATTCTGTACTTAATACATTAAAGGAATATTTGGGTTTACTTTTTTTTTTTTTTATTCTGGGAGTAATAAATTTGTGTTGCCAAAGAGCATAAATTTACAGATAAATTAGGATCTAACTCATTAGAAAATCAGATGTGTTAGTCTAACAGTCTGAAGTTTAAAATTTAACTGTGAAGAAAAGGCAACTGTCAGTCAGGTCCATCAGCTTTCTGGGCAGGGCAGGCAGGGGTAACACTTGGCGCCAACACCTGCATCTCTGTAACTACCACCCCTTCCCAAAGGCACTGCTGGGCCTTCTCTGTCCTCAAAAAAGGCAGTTAGAGTTCTGAGTTAGCCTTCTTCCTGAAAGGTAACACAGGTGAGTAGTGGCCTACTGAATTTATGATTAATAGTAAAATAAGCTGTATTTTTTGAAAGTAAAATTTGATTAATTTTACCTTCAAAAATCTCTGTAGTTAAAGCAAAAATAAGAACATAAGTTTGATAACCATCTTAAAAACTTTTCACTAAATTTAATAATTTTTTTCTAAATACATTAATAATAGAAATTCTATCACCTGTAACACATAATGGGTTTTTTAAAAAATAAGTATTTTAAAGTCTATTTCTATAGTTCGGGGTTCTGACCCTCTCTGGTCTTGGCCGTGTCTAGGCTGGCAGGACAACACCCACAGCCTGCTCTCAGCATTTCTAGGGCAGGAACCAAGAGCAAGCTGCCTCGTCCGTCCTTCCCAGCAGCCATTCTGGACCAGGTTGCTGGATGCACCCTCCAGGAAGCTGCAAACCCTCTACTGGTGGTACTGGTGCCCTGCTGGTCGGCAGAGGGGGGGCTGGTGCCTGCAGACCTCCCTGCAGCTGGCCACAGCAACAGGAGGCACCCACTGCCCTGAAGGTGGGCATCTCTGCTGCAACAGAATACATTTAATTGCTGGATTTATCATGCACAACTCATCCACATTTCAAAATATTTTATTAATAGTCATACCTGAGTCTTTCTTGTTCCCTTTTCCACTCTCTCGGCTCTTTTTTAAAACTGCCTTTAACATTTTAAACAGTGCTCCTAAAGGATAACAGAAAGAAACAAAAATAAATGCCACATTAATAATGTCCATTCACACAAATCCAAACACAATAAAGACAGGCTCAATGCAAATAAACCAGTGAGGTAATCAGAAGAAACTTTTGGTAGTTACATTTATTTTTTACAACATAGCTTAGTTAAGCAAAGTGCTGATGCACAAGGAATGTTTTAATACCTGAACTAAGCAATTAAGAGTTCACTGTCTTCTTATACAGAAAAATAATACAGCATTCTCCACATTCCACCTATAATTAAGGTTGTGAGGCTAAGCCCGTCCAAGTTACAGGTTGCCCAAGCAGGCCGCAGTCTCCCTCCCTGGGAGCAGCCAAGAGCGCTCTGGGCGCGGTCCTGCGCCGCCAGCTCTGGATAACCCCTCCTGAGCTGGGGGCTGGACGAGGTGACTTCCCGCGGTCCCTCCCAACCCCAGGCACTCTGACTAATGAGGGTGCCGAGCAGGACGAGTCGGTACCGAGCCCTGGGTCCCCCGCTGGTTACCGGCCTTCAGCCGGAGCTGGTGCCGCTGCCCGGGCGCGCCACACCGTGCCAGCGGTGCGATGCTGCTTTGTCCGCCCGTCCCGCGGGCCGAGGCGTGGCACCTGCTGCTTTTAGGGGGTAACCCCCACTCAGGAGAGAAATTCATCCCAAGTCCTGAGGGGGAGCGATGGAACAGCAGGAAACACCACCGTCAGCCTCCTAGGTTGGTTCCCGTATGTTCCCTTTCTGCAGCACGTCTCGCCTCGGGTCAGGCTCCTACAGAGGCAGTAGCAGCTCAAGGGGCTCTTGCTGTCCCTGAAGAAAACCTCAGGCACAGACCATAATAAAAACACCACAGAAGGGAGCTGCGCTGTAGTAGAAAGTGCATTCTAACTCACTCACTCTTCGTTTAAATGGCATATGCCTCCCAGTACTACAAGAGCTAAAAATTCTTTCAGATTCCAAAAGGAAAAACAACTCTAAGCATTTTTTTTCTAAATACACTGTCAAACATACTCTCCCAGATAACCCTCTAAGCTAAGACAGTGAAGAGAATAAAAGTCCCAATGTATTTATTACATTTATTATGCTTTTTAAATAAAAAGATTTTTTTTCTTTTCCATACAAAACATATATGCCATGTTAGAAAGTCTGCATTATGCCATGGTAGGATCTGGAGCTGTAACGGATTTCAGAATCTGAGAATGATATTCTACATATATAGCTAGAACAGAGTGGCAATTAAAAAAAAAAGAACACTTGAAAACCTGTGTAATATGTTTAACTTTCTTCTTATTTTTCTAACATGACAAGTATAAATTTTTGATTAACCAGAACAGAAAGGCTTGATATGGAACCGAAATTTTACAGCATATGTCATCCCTATTCTTAGGATATAAGTAGGGGGTAATATGAGATCAAATAAAGGGAATCAAGGACAATTCCACCCTAGATTTTCTCTTTTTGGAATTGAGGCCAACTTCCCTGCTGTGCATCCAGTTCTTCCAGGATCTATTCTGATACAGAACAGAAATGGTACATGAGACAGTTGCTTATTCAGACACATTAAGTGTAGATAGAAAAGTTGCCTACTACCTGGAAGCAAAGGCCATTTTCTTCCTCCTCCCTTACAAAATGATATGCAAAAATGAAAGATAACTGCTTTCAAAGAAATTCACCTTTCAATATCTCAATTATACTCCAGGAGAGACCTAACCAATAAAAGTTCTGAACAGGAGAGCAAACACAGTGACAGTTATTGTTCATTTGCAAGCTGAAAGGTGCAAAAAACCCACCTCTTCTTAAGTAATTTGAAAGCCAACACTCTGGTCACTTTACAACATCATTCAAATTCCACAAAGGTGTGTAGCTGAGCTGTTTAAGAAATGAACCAAACACTTCAGCTTAGAAATACTGATTAGAAATGAACTGTGTTATTTTTTAAAAAACACTGTATATACTGTGAAGCTTCCTAACACATATCCAAAAGCATTTCAGCTTCAGCTAAGAAATTTTTTCACATCCATCTTCCACACATCAAGAGTGATCAAACTGAACAGCAGTGCTGTACATCTGTATTTCTCCATCCCTTGAAACAGGCCTGGGATACTGGATCTTCTTTTGTTTTAAAGACATTTGTATTAATAGGGTATTTTCCAGTAATGCTGGCATCTTGTCTTTTCTAACTACATTGTCCTTCCTTGTTCTCCACAACTGAGCTTATATCAAATCATTCACTGACTAAGATTTCAGAAACACTTTCAGCTACTGCAATTCTTTAGCTTTGGTAAACAATTCAGGTTTAGATTTTCTTGGTTCCAATTTTTAAATTCTGACCTGAAACCACCTGTTTGTTGTTTGGCCGGGTTTGTTTTTTAAAAAGATTTGAAGGTCTTTTAAAAACTTTACCATTTCAGTTTTTAAAACAGATACCAGATGTGGACTTGTTATCCGAGGGTTGGTATTAATAATGTCAAATATAAAGAAAAATACCTCGACACTCTTTTGCTATCAAAGATCACGTTAGCCACGTACAAAACTGGATCCCCCACCCCAGCTCATGACGAATACATTTTAAAACGGATGCTACCCTCCCACCAGTTCAACTGTTTGTCTTTAGATACACTAGAATTTCCTAAAATTGCCTCATGCTCAGAGCATGAAGGGAAGGGATGGAAAGTCCCTTGATTTAAGAATTTGTAACATCAGCTTTTTTCAGAAATGATGGCCTCCAAAGCAAGATCAGGTTTATAAACGCAAATGCTTGGTTATGTAAGGAGTTCAGAGCACAGACAGACACCACTGGTTACTTCATTCCTAAGCTTTTACTATTAAATACTTCACTACCTAGGGAATCCCCTCTGAAAAGCAAAAAAAAAAATCTCTCCACATTTTCACTCTGCCTGCGAGTCTCCCTTAAGACTCAGCAACTTTCCTGCATGAGAGTATTTCCCTGCTATAGCTACTGCAGACAGATCCTAACAGCAGTCACAGGATGCCTCACCGCCTCTGTCCGCATTCCGAACTCCCGTTCCACCTTCCCACAGGTCTGCAGCAGGCACGTTCATACCTTACCTGTCAGAGCGGGTTATTTTCAGAGATCCATCCACAACAGTTCATCTCTTCTGCAGAGGTCAAACAAACTAATCCTACCCGGCATGTAACCACCCGAGTCAGTGCCCCTGAACTCCACATTTACCTGCTTCCCAAGTTGTGTTGTTCACTCCCTCCGTATTTAAATCCCAAGAAACAGTTAGCATATATGTGCAAAGAAAGAAAGGGAGGAACATCTTAGCCATTCTACCATTTGCACAGCAGTACTTGAGGACTTAACCACCTTTCAGTGGAGGATTTTAATGTATACCTCAAAACAGCTGCTGCATTTTAAAAGTGCATCTTGTATTCTGTAAATATTCCAAGATTCAGTCCCCTAAAGTCTGCAGAAACATTCAGTTAAAACTGCCTTCACTGCCTTTAAATAAACTAAGAACTTCATTGTTTACTCACAGAAAAGTTTCAACATTTCCCTTTTCTGGCAAATTCAAATTCCTTTAGCTTAACTGTAGTTTTCAAATGAGAAAAACAACAATAAAAATACTTAAAGCAGCAAGGTGCTACTTATGTAACAGAAATCAAGATGAGACAGTAGTAAAAAATCCTTTAAAATTAATACATTTTGAGTCATCACTATCTAACATTTTATAATAAAGAGGGAATGTTCCCAGATCTAAGAGACTCCTAATTCAAGGATGAACAAAACCATCTGAAAACAAAAGAATTGTGGGGTTTACTTTTTTTTTTTTTAAGGTACAACTTCTGATGAGATATATTTGCTTTATTATTATTCAAATGCATGAATGAAAATGATAAAACAGATACACTGAAGAGGTCTGTCTCTGACTTCATACAATAAAAAAGTAAATGGCAGATAGGATGTTTCCAACGGGCTATATTTAGCCAAATCTACACCAACTGACTGAAGTTAAACAGATATTATTGAAATATTTTTCTGCAATACCATACCCTAAACAATTATGATCTTTACTCTTTGTAGGTATTTCTCATGCAGAAAGATCAACAGGTGCAGGAAACCGACCAGCTATACTGCATTTGTTTCATTTGTTGTTCACTCAGTAACCTATTACTTATCTTACCTATGAGATATGCCACATCCCCCCCACTCTTACCTGGCACCCCTGAGAGATCTGCATCAATTTGAGACTGCAAAAGAACACTGAGGTTTCCAATTTGCTGCTCACTTCTAAATAGTGGAATTATGCCCTAAAGCACTATTAAAATACAGTGAAAGAGGTGAAAGATGAGGAAGCGCAAGAAAAAACTCATTATCACGCTAGCTATTAGAATGTGCTTTTGCAGTAGCTTTTTCCCACCAGTCTGGTTCTAGATTTGACTTCCCAGATGTCACAGATGTGCCTACTCCATCCTGCGGTCACCCCGTTTTCTGCTATGCTACTCTTTTACCCTGCTGCTGCTTCTTTTGGCCAGTGCCTCTGAGGACTGCCAACACAGGGGAGAAAACTGTCTCGTCACTTGACTGCTGTCCAACTGTTGTTGGCAGACACTGCAGAAATGACTGTTTATCAGTTTTAAAGATGACTGTTCCCCAGCTACCTGTTACTACCCCAAAGCGCTGAAGAAACTGATCTTGCACGGAGGCAGGTGAGCACTCACAAGTCAGAAATATTAACTTCAAAGCACCTGTTTGAACTAACCTGAGCAATTCTGCAATGATGTGGATAAGAATCATCAGTTGAGCCATTTGCCTGTCTACACTGGGGAAAGGGAGCAGTAGTTGTCAACAGAGGAGCCATAAAATCTTTAAGATTTGCAGCTGTTTCTCATATAAAAAGTATCTGACCACAGAGAAGGTGTAGACAAATTTATTTTTCCTTTTCTCTTCCCACTCTGCTGAGTCCCTCCAGAGAAAACGCCAAGACCATAGCCTTCTACCATCTTTACAGAACTTTCCCTTTCTTCAGTAATCA